GGCGTAATGAGAAAAAGGGTTCTTTCAAGTCATTTTTTTTTGTAAAAGGAGATTACTTTGACCTCTCTATTGACTCAAGGAAGAATATATATATACATATAAACAGAAAATAAGATCATTCTATAGATTCTATCAATTCAATAAATATTGTATTCTATTTAATAATGCTTTCTATTGATTTCTATTAAAAAATAGATAACAAATACAATCTCTATTAAATATACAATAGACAATATATATTTTCTCTACTTATATTGCTTTAAATTTTTAATAGGTACTATTCAAGAATTTCTTATATTGATGATTCTATTTATTAGATTATAAATGATCATAAATTTGTATATTATAAATTTGTATGCAAATACAATGAAATAGATAAGGAATTCCATTAATATTTATCATATTTATTATTTATACGATGTATGAGATCTCTCTCTATCTGCGTCCGACCCTTGGCGTGCGTATCGGACCAGAGGCCGCAGCCCGCTGTCTGGTAGGGCCGTCACCGCCGTCTCGTATGACGTACGGCCGCCGCCGTCTCTCTCTCTCTCTCTCTCTCTCTCTCTCTCTCTCTCTCTCTCTCTCTCTCTCTCTCTCCGACCTTTTCGGCCGACCTTGCTGACTGTGAGTCGTCCGCTATAACTGACTCTCTCTCTCTCTCTCTCTCTCTCTCTCTCTCTCTCTCTCTCTCTCTCTCTCTCTCTCTCTCTCTCTCTCCGACCTTGGCAGCTCAGGCTGCCATCCGCCTATGTGACACCCGCGGCCTAGGTCGCGGACATTTCAGCCCCTGCGGCCGATGAGGCCCAGTCTGCGGCCTGGTTTTTCAATATTTTTTTCCCCCCCTCAAAATACGTGAAAATATATATAAATATATACATATATGGGGGTGTGGGGCTTGAATCAAAAAATCATGAATATATATATATATGGGGCCGATGAGGCACGTGAATATTTGTTTAAGATTTTCAAAGAATCAAAAACTAAGATCGATTTAAATAAAATTAAAAATATATATATATATAAAAAAGCATGAATTTTTTTTTGCCATTTTTTATTATGAGATATATGGCCCCTGAGTACACCTGTATTTTTTTTTAGAATTGGAGTTTTGTTTTTTGCACGAAAATGAGGTGTTTAAAAAAAATGCAGACGCTAAATTAAAAAAAAAGGTTTTATTGATTGATTGATTCATTGATTGATTGATTGATTGATTGCATTTGATTGATTGATTGATTGATTGATTGATTGATTGATTGATTGATTGATTGATTGATTGATTGATT